GGGGGGGGGGGGGGGGGGGGGGGGGGGGGGGGGGGGGGACCATACGCACCTGCCAGTTCTCCACGCCCAAAACGTCAAGCAGACGCGACAGGTCGCCGGCCAGGAGAACAGCCGCCACCTTCATGGCGACGCTGTGCTGCTCGCCATTGGCCGCCACAGTGGGCGAGGTCAGCACATGACGGAGCATGATATCCAACAGGGAGGGGGCGGCATCGGGACCGCCAGCAGAGGCAGGCCGACCGCCAGCCATGGCAACCAACAGCGCCTCGGACACGAAGGACCCATGAGCCAGGGATCGGGCGGCCCCGGCGAAATTCCCGCCCAGGAGGCAGGCCAGCGGCCCGTCGGAGCCGGTGTCGGCGCCACCGGCAGCATCGGCCGCGAGATCAAGCTGCGCCAGAGGAGCAGCCAGATCCTCGACACTGCCAGCCAGGCTGGACAGATGCCCACGCGCCGGGGGGGTGTACACCCCGGCAAAAACCCCGGCCAGGGACTTGTAGTCGGGCGAGGCCAGCATCGCCTGCAGGAGGCGATACACGTCGGCATCGGCAGACCGACCGGCAGCAGCGGCAGCGGCCTGCTCGGCGCCACAGAAGGCCCCCAGGGACTCGACCACGCCGGTGTCAGTCGGCGCGACAACTCGACTGAAGGATGCGGCGCGCTCGATGTAGGCCGCATCGGTGGCCACCGAGGTCAGCTCGATCGAGTGGCTGTCAGCCGAGGCACCAATCCCCGGGCCGAAGCGGACCAGCCGACCACCGAAGCCGAAGCACACACCGGCCGGGCGCCGGAGGAAGGCCGGGGCGTCCGGCAGGCACAGAGTGCCGGAGTCCTGGATGGCGGCGGTCGGCAGGGCAGGGCCGTCGTCCAGGTGCCCGGCGCCGCCAGGACCACCGGCCGTCGGAGGCGGCGCGAAGGGGTCAATGTTTTCCAGCTCCCCGGCATCCAGGGTACCAGTGGGATGCCCATGCAGCAGGGGGTCCCCCCCGGTCGGGGGTGCCGGAGCCAGGCGGATGGCACACACCCGGACTCGGCCGTCATAGGACGACGTCAGGGCCAGGGAGCTGTGCCGGGGGGAGATGGTCACGTCGAAGACCCAGTTCTCGGCGATACCGCCACCCAGCCGGCCGCGATAGGCCCCGGTGGCCGGGCACCAGCCGCGCACGACGCCATCCTTGCCGGAGGCCAGCAGCAGGCGATGGTCATGCGGCGACCAGGCCAGCGACAGGACACCACAGCCAGAGGGGGGCATGGTATGGTCGGGCTCCGGGGTGATGATGCGCTCGGGGGCACTGAGGGGGACGCAATCCGATGGGCAGGGTCACACATGGAGGCGTACGAGTCGGCATATGCCCGATGCGTGGTTGTGTGCGTGTGTGTGTGTGTGTGTCTGTGTCAGAGACAGGGGAAGGGCGTGGTGGGAGAGGCGACAGTCGAGGCCATGCTGGCGTACCGGGCGTTGCGGACGTCCCAGATGAAGATGCGCCCGGTGGGATCATGCTCGTAGGTGGTAGCCAGCTGGGTGGGAGTGACCGGGTTCCAGGCAATGGCGGACACGGCACCGAAGCCAGCCCCAGCGCCAGGCATCATGCCGGCCGGGCCACCCGGGTAGGCACCCATGTGGGAATGGTGCTGGGGGCCGCCGTAGCTAGTATGGGCCAGATGCGGTGGCGGGGTGAGGACCATGAGCTCGCGCTTGTGTGCCAGGTCAAAGACGACGACATTGCCTTGAGGGGTGGAGAGAGAAGGCCAGAACCGAAAGGCCCTTGCTTCTGTTAGTATCGCAAGCCGAAGGTCCAAAGTCGAACATGTTCCCCCCAGAGGCACAGGCGGACCATTCATGCTGCCGACGGCAATGATGTGGGAAAACTGGGAGTTCCAGCTGAGAATGGTGGCCGGCACGTTGGGAGCACCCAGGCGCGAAGAGGGCAGCGCCGGCAGCCGGGCGAGAGGCTGCATGTGCATTGGTGAGATGGGGGAAGAGCAGGGAGACAGACAAGCGGGAGGGAGCAGCAGGTGCGCATGGCAATGGTCAGGGCCATGGGGTGAGACGTTGCAAGTGAAAAGCAGAGGCCCAACGCACGGCATCCGGACGCGAGATGTCCCACAGGCAAACCTTCAGGTCGCCATTCGGGCCACCGAAGCCGCAGCTGGCCAGGAGGCTCGGGCGGCTCGGGCAGAGGGAGATCGAGTAGACCGGGCTCGGTGGGGGGGTGGTAGACCCAGGAGCCACGGTGTCGGCGGCGGCCGGATGGGCCACGCTAAACTGGCTCAAAGGAGTGGCTGCCAAGGAGGAGGGGGAGGAAGAGGGGAGAAGTTATTGCATGTTAGCATACGTATGTGTGGCTGTGTGGCTGTGTGGATGTGTGTGTGTGTGTGTGCTCGTTGGAAAGGGAGAGGGCAGTGGGTAGCGTACTGGTTTTGCCGGCCAGTAGAGCGACAGGGTCCCAAAGCTCAATGGCGCCGGACTCAAGGCCAGCCACGATGATACCCTTCGGGAAGGCGGGGTTCACAACGCCAGACCAGAGGATCTTGTTAAAGCGCGAGGCCACCGGAATGGACACCTTGCTAACGATGGGCTGGGTGATGGTATTTGGGCACATCGATGCGTGCGTGTGCGTGTGCGTGTGCGTGTGCGTGTGTGACGCGTGAACATGTCAGAGGGGAGGTGACAGTCAGCGGGATGGTTCTCCACAGGGGGGAGTGGTAATGCAAAGAGGAGGTCGCACATGCTCCGCGCCGAGGGACAAGTCCACAGCGGCGATCTCCAGCGAGGAGGAACTGGAGAAGCCCGGGTCCAGGGCGCCAGCGGCCGTGCCAAGGGCAATATAGTGACGACCATGACCGAGAGCCAGATCATCGGCCGCCAGATCGAGCGGACACCAGGCAGCCGTGGCAGTGCGGCGCAGGCCGAAGGCCGAGGAGACAAAGCGCGGGGGCAGGCGCTTGGCCTTCGGGGCGCCGGCCGGCTGGTCGGAAGGAGGCGCGGCGCCACCGGGAACCGGGCTGCCGAAGGGGTGCTGAGCATCCGAAGCTCCGGCATCCGAGGTGCCATTCAGACCGAAGACATCCGAGGCCGAGGAGGCGGCCGTGGTCAGGAGGCTAGAGAAGATGTCGCCAAAGCCGCCAGGCGGAGCGGCGGTAGCGGGGGCACCCGCATCAGCAGGCGGGAAGACGGACATGGCCGGACGGCAGGGGGGGGGGGGGGGGTCTCGACGACGACTGAGAGTCGGGAAAGATACACGGATGCAGGTGAGTGGGCCAGGCGGATAGGGGGACACAGCTGACGGCGGCACTGCGTGAGAGGGTGGGCGAAATGGGGCAAGGAGGAAGGGGGGAACCTTGCGGCGGCGGCGGCGGCGGCGGCGGCGAGGGGGAGAAAGGAGATGCGTTCGCAGTAGCGGGGACACACACACTGTGAACATGTCCTCGGGACCGGTGGCACAAGGTGGATCCTCTCGACTGGTTCCTCCGACCTGCTTCTTTCTCCTCTGGGCTCTGGATTGGGGGCGGAGGAGGGCTGCCCTCGGCCAGCCTCCCCCCTCCCTTCCCCCCCCCCCCCACTCCAGCTAGACCTTCCTGGGGCCTCGTCTAGTCGTTTGTTGAACGAATGAGAGCATCTCGAGGAAAAGGGAACTTTAAAAATAACGCAAAAAATAGCACGAGCTCCAGGTCTTCCCCCGGGGGATGAATTAATGTCACACACCCAAGCAGGGCAAAGGTCCTTTTCCGGCGGAGGGCCCACATTGGAGAAATGTGCGTTGCGTTGAAGTGGGGTGTCTCTGATCTGGGTGCTGGGGTGTCCCCCCAATGGCTAAATCGGGGAAGCTTGGGAGCCGCCTGCTTGCCTTGCACCTCTCTCTCTCCCTCTCTCCCTCTCTCCCTCTTTCTCTGTCTCTCTCTCTCTCTCTCTCTCTCTCTCTCTCTCTCGCTCGCTCCCTCCCCTGCTCCGTTTCCTTCGTGCAAGTCAGCAGCATGCAGGGACCTGATCGGGGCTGCTCCCCAACGGCAGGCAGAAAGAAGCCCCAAATAGGGGGAGGTGTATTTTTGGTGTGGATCAAAACACGTAGCCGCCTTCCCTGAGGGGAATCCCCGAGCCTTTTTCCTTGTATCCCTCTCTCTCTCTCTCTCTCGGTCTTGTCCCACATCCGTCTGGAGGTACACCATCGTTGCCGGGGACGGCGAGCAAGGTGCGGGGCAGGGAGAAAGAGAATGCCAGGAAGCGGAGCAGCGCCAAGGGGGACGCGCCGGGGGAAGAAGGGGCACCGGCGCCAGGGAGTTGACACTTCTCTGCGAACCACCGGAGTCACACCGCTTCTCACGTGTCACGAGAATGCCAATAGCGGAATCACACGACAGGGACCTCAGGGTTTTGCCTCTCGACCCTGTTGGCAATAGGGTTGTATCCAAATGAACAACTTAAAGGGTGGTGGTCTCCTCCCGGTTGGTCTCTTGACCCAGGCGGGGGATTTAACCTGGGAGGCGGTTGTGTGGCGGACAAAAGGGTTGGCTGCTATCAGGATCATTGGTAGCTCTTTTGCGTTTCACCCTTCTCCGGATCTGTCCTTTCTCTTCTGCCCGCCGGCTCTGTGGGCCTTGTCGGGATCTTTATCGAAACGCCGGCAGTTCGGCCGGCCGCGATCCACCCTCCCCGCCGGGGTGCATCCTGGCGTGACTATTTCCCCCCTCGGGGCGTTTAGGCGGGTCCTGGCCCTGAGGCCTGCGTGTTCTCCTCGGCGGCCCCACCCTCCCCGGCTCACCGGAGGCATCTCTGTGTGCACCCCGCGCGACGCCCCCTCCGGAGACTCGGACCGGCGGAGGGGGGTCGATTGGCAGCACCTATTTCCTTCCGCGTCTCGTCCCCCACAAGGGAACGGAGGTGGGGGGGCTCTTGCGCCAGCATTCCCCCCCCCCCCCCCCCCCCCCCCCAGATTTAACCCTCGCCGGCCAGCATGCTGCGGGATGGGCGCGAGGGGGCGCTCCCCTTCCCCCACATTGTGCCCGTCCCCTGGGAGTAGTGGGTCGCCCAGGTTGTCGAGACTCCTTTCTCTCCGCCTCCCCTGCCGGGCTCTGTCATCGTGGGGTCTGGTCGGCGTGGTCCTGGTGTCGGGCCCCGCGTTCCAGCTCGTCCCCTGGTCCCCCGCCACCTCCGAGCCGCATGTGGTGAGTTCCTCCCCACCTCCTAGATGGGCGGATGGTACACGGCGGGGGGGGGGGGGGGGGGGGGCATGAGGATCGCCCTCACGGAGGGCAGGCCACCGCGGGAGAAGAGCAGCCGGTCCGCCGTCCGCGGCCAGGAGGGAGCTCCCAACTGAGAGTTTCTGTTTCGTTGTTTCCTGTGAGTCCTCCCCCCTCCCTGCCCTGCTTCTCATCTGTTGCTCCCTCCTTCCTACCCTCCTTTCTCTCTCTCCCTCTCTCTCCCTCCCCCCCCCTCTCTCTCTCTCCCCCCACTGCTCGCGTCCACGGGCTGTGCATGTCTATCAGCCCCCCTCCCCCCCACGATCTCATCTATCTTTCCCCAACCGGCGGCCTGGCTCCGATGGCTGACCGGGGCCGGTGATGCAGACAGGAGGGAGGCCTGGCCACGCGCCTTCCTCCTTTATGTCTCTCGTGCATGGGGGCATCATCGCTTCACTTCCTCCCCTCCTTCCCCTCCCCCTGTCGGGACTTGTGCGTCGCCTCGGCGCTTCGCCCTCCCTCCATGCCAATGGGGGCTTTGTCGTCGATGTTGCCGAGGGGATCGCCTGGTCGCTGCTCCACCACACACCCGGCTCCTCGGGTTCTCTCTCTCTCTCTCTCTCCCCCTCTTTCTTCCCCTCTTTCTCCCTCCCTCTCTCTCTCTCTCTCTCTCTCTCCCCTCTCTCCCCCTCTCTGTGTATATGCATGCCTGCCGCATGAGGTCTGACTTTCGCTCCTCTCCTCGCCTTTTCCATGTGTCTCTGTTCTTTTTCTCCCATGACTGCTTGCTGCCCAGGCGCAACCCCTCTCCCTCTAGCTCATCATGCCGCCCAAGGCAGCTCCCCCCAAGTCCAAGAAGGTCACCGAGGACAAGGTATCCCCCCCTTTCCCCCAAGTTTCCCGCCCCTCCCCCCCCCCTCAGCGACTTCCACTTTCGATGGTGTGCGATGCCTAACCTCCCTGTGCCCCGCCAGACCTTCGGTCTCAAGAACAAGAACAAGTCCAAGAAGGTCGGCAAGTATGTCGATGAGGTGAAGCGCCAGCAGTCAGGCCAGCAGGGTCCTCGCGTTGACCCGCTTGCCGCCCGTGCCGTACGTGGTCGTTCCCTTCGTCCCCCGTTAGCGATGCACTTCCTCCGACTGCTCATCCCGTTGTCCACCTGCCATCTAACGCTTCCCTCGGTCAATGCTACGCTGCTTTTGGCGGATTTCCCTCCGTCATCTCTCTCTCCCTCTGTCTGTCTGTCTCGCCTCCCTCTTGTTCCTCCAGGCCCGCAAGGAGGAGGAGGCCGCTCGTAAGGCCGAGCTGGCCCTGCTCTACCGCCCTGCCGCCACCGCGCAGAAGGTTACTCCCGGTGCGCTTGCCCTTCTGTCCCTCCTGCCCTCCGCCGGGCGCTTTCCCGACTAACCTCCGCTCATTTGGTGTTCCTCCTGCATGAATGGTCCCTGCCGTGCTCTCCCGCAGGTGTCGACCCGAAGTCCATCCTGTGTGAGTTCTTCAAGGCCGGCACCTGCCAGAAGGGCAACAAGTGCAAGTTCTCCCACGACATCGCTGTCGAGCGCCGCAGCGAGAAGATCGATCTCTACAACGACCCGCGCAAGGAGGAGCAGTGTGCGTCTTCTCTCCTCCCCTTTCCCCGTCCCCCCCCCCGATCCCCAGCCACTTCTCTTGATCCCCCCCCCCCGGTCCAAGTGTACTCACCCTTCGGCTGTCTTCCTCTGATCGCACTTGCCCTGCCATCTCATCTGCTTCTTTCCTTCCCTCCTCTTCCCTTCTCTCCAGCCACCATGGAGTCTTGGGATCAGGCTACCCTGGAGGAGGTGGTCCAGAAGAAGCAGGCCGGCCAGAAGGTCGCCACCGACATTGTGCGCGCCCCTCCACTCGATTGCTTTTTTTCCCCTCCCCCTTGCTTTCTCCCAATCCTCCTCCCTGCTGGCTGCTACTGCGCTGCTGCCACCCCGCCAGCTCCTCATGCTAACCGCGCCATCTGGCGTCCCACAGATCTGCAAGTACTTCCTTGATGCGGTCGAGAAGTCCCAGTACGGTTGGTTCTGGGAGTGCCCGAATGGCTCGACCTGCCACTACCGCCATGCCCTGCCGCCGGGCTTCGTTCTGAAGAAGGACCGTGTCAAGGAGAAGGCCTCCACCGAGGAGTTCTCCCTGGAGGATTGGATCGAGACCGAGCGCGGGAAGCTGGACCACTCCAAGCTGACTCCGGTGACCAAGGAGAGCTTCGAGGCTTGGAAGATCGCGCGCATTGCGAAGCGCACCTCCGAGGAGAAGAAGTCTCGCGACCAGAAGGAGGCGTCCGTTCGGGCGGGCCGCATGGCCGGTCTCTCCGGTCGCGATCTCTTCTCCTTCCGCCCTGATCTCTTCGTGGATGATGACGACGCCGCCGATGATGATGTCTACGCCGATCGTGCCTCCGACGATGAGGGTGAGACTGATGCCGCTCTGGCCAGCGCCGCTGACGCCCTGGCTGATGTGGACCTTGGCGACCTGCCCTCCGACGAGGAGTAGACACCACGAGCTGGTGACACTGTTCTCCGTTCGCGGATTTCCGTGGCCGTCTTGTGTATTATGGGTGTCTCTTTTTTTTTCTCCCCTCTTGTGTTTGTGTATGTACTTGTGCATGCTGGCCCCTTTTTCGTGTGGCGGCTGGTGTGCGCTTGTGGGCGCGCCACCCCAGTGGTGGGTCCTCGCGCCACACATGCACCCCCCCCCCCTCTTCCTCTCGGCCGGCCAGCCGGCCAGTTCTTCAAATCGGCCCCAAGACCCGGGAGAGGCCTTCCCCTCGGCTGGGGAGGCGCCTCTCCCCCTTGGGACTGGGCTCGGGGTGGAGAGGCGGTGCACACGTGTACTCCCTTCCCGTGTAGTGGAATCCCCATGTAAACGATAGATGAAGCAACACGTGAGTGAATTGCCACACGTGTTACATCGTGGGAAAGATAGCATCCCAGAACAGCATTCCTCGGAGAGGAATGCGGGGTAGAACAACAGCCAGGTGGCCGCCGAGGCCGAGCGGCATAAACGCTCGACCGAGGACGGAGATACGCGGGTGGGCGGGCCCAGCCGCGGGGTTCTCAGTTCCAACCCCTGACCGAGCCCAAAGGTCAAAAAGGGGGACTCTCGTTGAGAGCCTCCTGAGAGCGAAAGCCTTAGCAGCTGTGTGTCGAAGAGTATACGGAAGTATAGCCGAAGCACCAGTTAGGCCGACGAACACCTGTTCTAAGGCTTCCTCTCGAACCCTTTTTAACATCCGAGTTCCTTTCTATTTTCGCTTGCCACTAACTCGTCTCAAGCCGAGTTACTGACTCATCTGGTAACAGACGACCGTGAACCGCTGGTTGGTATGTCCCCTCCTTCATGCCAAGAGGTTACTAACCAGGTGGCAGATCACACTGGTACCCTTCGTCAAGCCTCACTCACTTGACTTAGGCTTAACCCGTGTGAACCCTGCTACATCCCGCCTTTGCATGGGGATGTCGGGGCTGGCACTATGCCTCTCTTTATCGCTAGCTCTCCCCTCCTCCCCGCCCGCCAATCCGCATGAATGCATGCGTAGGTGTGTATACTTTCATATATATATTTATATACTCCATCTTTCCCTTCGTGTCGTGTGTCCCCCCCCCCCCACCGCATCTCGTTTTCCTCTCTTGTGTCCCGTGCTGCTTCCCTCGATGGATGGCTCGCTCCCTTGGCGCCCCAATGCACTTGCAAATATCCGGGTCACCCTGGCATATGAGCAAGCATACTACTTTCGCCCTTCTGTCTTTGCTCATTTCCTGCCCTCGCATCGTGCCGGAGGGTGCCATTGTGGTGGTGGTCGTAGTGGCGGTGGTTCAGGCGTTTTTTTTTCCCGGGTCTGCTTTTGGTGGCTGTTTCTATTGCAAGGCGGGTGTGTCAATCTTGCGGGGGTCAGGTCGACCGATCGCCACGGGCGGTCTCCGGGGCAGTGGTGGCAGTGGTGTCGGCCGTCGTCACAGCGCTGGCCACCTCCGGGCCATGCTTCGAAATGAGATGCCGGGTGCAGACCGCACGAACAAGAGCAAAGGGCAGGTGCGCCCAGCGGCCCCAGTGATTGTTGATGCCCCAGACGGCCGCCGGGAATTGGGGTGACGAGATTCCGGAGAAAATCATGGCCACGGAATGGGCGATCCGATCGATGACATCCTGCGGCAAGAAGGCAGGGGCCTCTGGGTTGACTTGGGCATGTTCCTCCTTCACGACAGCCGGCATGGAGAGGATCGATCTATGAAAAGAGAGGCAGGGATGGGAGCAGCCATCCGCCAATGGACCCACCCATGCACGTGAGGGGGCGGGGGAGGGGGAGCAAGGGGCAGCGCCACAGAGGATGCGGGGGTGAGAGTCCGTTATGGTGGCGTTGAGGCGAAAGGAGGAGGAAAAAAAAAGAAGGAAGCAGCAAGGGGGGAAAGAAGGAGGAGGAAGAGGTGAGAAGTCAGGATTGGGCATACTTCAGATGAGTGGTGATGAACACTCGAACATCGAGCCAGAGCAGCACTCGATCCCGCTTGGACAGTTGCTGCAGCATCTCTTCCTCGGATTGGGGATCGCCAGGATCCGGAGATGGGCCGGAGGAGAAGAAGTAGGCATCATCATTCGCATCATCATCGAAGGGGATACCGCCGATGTTCTTCCCGGTGATCAAGTGCGACCAAGGCATCTGAGCAATGGCATCCTCAAGGGCCGTCTCTGTCGCATGGCCATTGAGGAGCATGGTGACATTGAAGGACTCCCGATCAGTCGAGGGGCCACTGCGATATCCGGCGAAGGTAGCCAGCTCAGCCATCTACCATGCGGGTGGATAAGTCGGTAGTTGGTGCGTTTGTGTGTGTGTGTGTGTGTGTGTGTGTGTGTGTGTGTGTGTGTGTGTGTTGGTGAAAGGGAGGGGAAGTAGGAGAGCAGAGCATGTGGCAGCGGAGAAAAACCCCGGGAGACGCGGCAAAAGAGAAGTGCAAGCGGAATCAGCGAGGAGGATTGCCCCTGCCCCCTCTCATCCCATGCCCAGAGAGGCGTCCAGATGAAAGACGCACCACTTGTGCCTGTCGTGACAGCCGGGCATCCAACGCGTCAAAGGCAAAGGTCAGCCGCTCAACGGCGGGCTCCTCTTCACCGGGAGCGCCTGGGGTGGGGATTTGTCGGGAGGCCAGGCGCACCATGACACACGGCTCCGAAATGGTCAACACACGAGCCACAATGGGGTCCGCGCGTGGGTCGGTCGGAGGCCGAGGGGCTCGGGCACCGCGCGCCAACCTCGGCGGCTGCACAACGCCCAGGCTCGTAAGTTGAGCCAACTGGCTGAGGACGGCTGAGAGCCCGCTTGGCAGGCCGGCGACTGCCTGTCGAGCGTCAGCTTCTTGCGGCTGATCGGCGCCACCGCCGGCGCCAAGTAGGCACTGGCGTAGAGCCATGGAGCCGGCCGTGCAGGGAAGCCCCTCTGGGAAGTGCGTGGCGAGGAACTCCGCCAGGACCCAAGTGTCCACAGTCAACAGGAATTGCAAATCCGACATGCCGGTATCCAGGGGATCGGAGCTGCCCTCGGGTTCCGGGTCAGGGTCGGTCGCGGCGCGGATCTTCGTTCGACGACGGGCGCCAGCCGATCGGCGCTGGCCGGATGCCATGCGCCGAACAAGGAGGCCGGGCAGCGGAGCAAATAGCAAACCCACAGCAAGCCCGGCTGCTGGGTGTTCGCGTCCGATGCCGGCTTCCAAACCGGCCAGGATCCCCGGGGCGAAGGTATTCTCGGCGAAGATGCGCCATGCCAGCAGATCAGCCGGCTGGTCGATCGGCCGGCCGGATGAATTGCGCGTAAGGTGTTCTCCAAGTGTGGCCAGCTCGGGGCCCGACGCGCGCAGACGCAGCAAGGCCGGTACCGCCAGACGCCGGAGCTGCCCGGGATCGCGCACCAGGAAAGTCACTCGCCGGGGAACCCAAGGAGCGGTCCGAGTCCCGGCACTCGGGCCAGCAAGGGACCCGGCCGCTGCGAGCAAATAGTCCAGGGCATACGAATCCACATTGAGGGTGTGCTGCAAAGCGGCGGTGGGTGCCAGTAGAACCGGCCTGCTCCCCGGCACGTGAAGTACTCGACTGCCGGGGGCCAATGCCTCGCCCAAAGGCCCGGCTGTGGCATCGCCAAGCAGCGTGCACACATGGGCGAGTGTTTCCTCGCGGAAGCGCGACGAGTGAAAGCGTCCTTGGGAGAAGCGGGCAATTTGGCTGGCCGTCTTACGGAGGGTGGCCATGGCATCGGCCGCGGCTTCTGGCAGGAGCAGCAGCGTCCCGACGCCGTCGGGGTCCAGCAAATGCGCCGCATCCAACACCAGGCGATCGGGCGAGGGGGGGGCATTAAGATAGATGATCGCACGGAAGGCGCCTCGCCGGCGCTGGCGGCCCAACTGGGCGCTCATGTTGAGGCTGGTTTGGGGGGTGGAGATGACCACATTGACAAGGCCGTTGCGAATGGATGTCTATGCAGTAGTGGTAGATGGCGGACAAGGGGCAAGGGGGGGGGGGGGGGGGGGGGAGGGAGAATCAGAGCACAATATGGTCAGTCGGTGACCGAGGCCGACGGGAGGATGGTTGGTACAGATGGCGGAAGGGGGTGGCGGCGGACGTACGGCGAGGCGAGCCCGTTCATCCAGGCTCATGCCAGCATGAAGGGACACACAGTGGCCAGCACGGCGCCGGTTGCGAAGCAGCTCAGCCAGCGAGTCAGCGGTTTCACGACGCTCACAAAGGACCAGCACCGGAGCCGAAGCAGGCGCCCCGGGAGCCGGGAGGCCGGGGGCCGGGGCCAGCTCGGGCAAGTTGCTCAGCTGCCCAGCGTCCAGGGAGTATTTGACCCCGAGCTCGGGATGTGGCAGCACCAGAAGGTCCAGGAGGAAGGCATTCCTTCGGGCGGTGGTGGTCATTTGGTGAGCGGGCATGGGGGAGGATGGCGGGGCGGACGCCTTGTTACGCACTGATTTGAGCAAGCATGCGCGGTGAGGGTCACATTGTTGGGCAGGGCCGGGCAGGGGAACACCTGGGGGGGAGTCTGCCCCGGGTTCGAGCACATGGTCCGGGCGGTCCACTCAAGCGAAGCCCGGCCAAGAGGCAGGGATGCTGACAGGATGGTGGCCGAGTCCAGGCGAACTGGCCCCAGGTGGATGCCAGATCGCAGGCTGGTCACGGCGCGCAGGAATTCCGGTCTGTGTCGTGGTGTCAGGGAAGATGGAGGGAGGCATGTGTGTGTGTGTGTGCGGGTGGGGGGGGGGGGGGGGAGAAATGGGTGGCGGAGGAAATGGCGGGCACAGAAAAGTGGGCAGCATACTTGAAAGTGGCGGACAGCGGGTGAGCATGCTCACTGCCGGCAAGATACACGAAGGAGGCTTCGGGGAAAAGCCCGTTTCGGCCGGTCTCTCGAGCATGTGCCGCCAGGGTGCGGTCATGATGCAGGTGTCCGGCCATGTCTGCGGACCATGCCAGAAGAGGGCTATTGACACGGAGAGCCGAGAGAACAACCACATCAACCGAGCGTTCAAGCAGGCGGGCCAAGAGCCCGGGCTACGGGTATGTGTGCGCGTGAAGTGAAGGGAGAGAGAGGGTGAGACAGAGAGGGAGAGAGAGAGAGAGAGAGAGAGAGAGGGGAAGGAGGCAACACGACAATCAGCATGGGGCATTCAGGACGACGATGCACGGAGGAGGGGAGGGGGCGGGGGGGTGCCATCACACGCACGGTGTCTGGAGATCCGGGGGTGAGCACACTCAGGCCAAGCTGGCGCAGGGCGCTGGCCTCTTGCTCGGCGGCTGGGTCGTCTGGAACGACGATAATGGACAATGGCCGTGGCGCGCCGGTGGCCGCGCCAAGCTCGAGGCACCGAGACCGAAGCAGCAGGCAAGCAAGTCGCGCGGCCCGAGTTAGCTGGTCCAGTCGCTGGACTGTGTGGAGCAGGGCGCCCGCCCGGGCCCCATTAAACAAGGCCTCCAGGCAGGCCATCTCGGCTGGCAGTATGCGAAGAAAGGCAAAGTGTTAGCCTCCGAACGGACCCCCCCCCCCCCTTCCCCCCGAATCGCGAGCAGGCACACGGGCGCACAGCCAAGCAGGGGATCCTCGCCCAAGAGACCGGCCTCGCGAAGTACATTCAGGGCAGCCTGCATCTCGCCATCTCGGAGTGGGCCCTGACGCTGGCGCAGGTGGCTTTGAGCCTCAGGGACTGTCAGCCGACTCAGGGGAGCCAGCTCGAACATGGCAGCCGAGGCTAAAAGTTACACAGGGCGAAGGGGTGCATGTTAGCATGGCGCACGGCCACTCGACTTGCCAAGTGGTCGAGCAGGACACATCAGCAGGGAGGGAGAAAGGGAGAGAGAGAGAGAGAAGGAAAGAAAGAGAGAGGGAGAGAGCGAAGGGGCCGCGGAGGGGAAGAGGGGGCATACCATCAGCGATGTCCATCCACTCGGACAGGTCTGCCTCAGTGCCGGAGCCAAACCCCCGGCGGAGGCCGGCCGGCGCATCGGGGTCCGCCTCCGAGGCGTGGGACTCCTCGATGTCGTCCTCATTTTCGATCTCAGCATCAAAATGTAGATCGGACTCGCTGGATGTCGGGGCACGGCGATCGTGCCTGGAGTTTGTTTTTTTGTTTTTTTTTCATCCGCCCGCCCCCAAACAAAGACATTAGCAGGAGGCAAGAGCGCGAGGTAAGATGCCGGAGGGCATATCACAGCAGGGAAGGACATACCAACCAGAGGCCGGGCCTCCGGAAAAGCGCCCACCGCGAGCTGATCGACCGCCAAATCCGCGACCACGCTTGGAGAGGTTGAGGCGCTTGAAGTTTGCGGCTGGGCGTTTGGAGGCCAGGGACCCGAGGACCTCGCTGGTCGGCGACCGGGGAGCAAGATCTGGCGCACAGGCGGCCGAACGTGCTGTCGGGGCACCATCGCAGGATGTGCCCTGCTTCGGGAGGCCCGAGCCTGACGCAGGGCTGGCAACACTCGACACTTGGCGATTGAGCCCGAGACTCGTTTGTTGTGCACTAAACAGAAGATTGTCGGTGGGAAGTGCGGGAGTCGGGGTGGGATCGCGCAAGCCCGCCGATGGTGGCCCCGCTGCGCGGGCTGTTTCGACAAGGCTACGCTGGAGGGAGGACACCGAATCCATGTCAGCCCGAGGGCCAGTTGAAGCCGACTGGAGGGCAGGCACGGACGGGTTCTTTTTGACCAGCCCGCTGCCGGACGCCAGAGATGACGGCCGACGGAAGTCCCATGACGTGGTACTGTGTGAAAGCGAGGCCGAGCCGGTACTGCCTGACCGGCCTAGACCCATGGTCGTGGCCATTATTGGGAGCCGGGATCGGGCTAAACCGGCGGCCAAGGGGGGCGGCTGCCCGCCCTTGTTCGGCAGGCCAGACATTTGACTCCAAGCCAGGGGAAAGGACAGCAAGGGGGGGGGGGAGGGGGCAAGCGAAGGAGACAGGCGAAGGAGACAAGGGAAGGGGAGAGGAGGCGGAGACAGGGGCGTAGCCTGGGTCGTGGAGGGGG